ATGGTCTCTGCAAGGCCGTAGAGAACCTTCTAAAGGGAACGGATGATTGTGAATTGGCTTCAATTGATGCCATCGCCGCAGCAGCTCACTCTTTAATTATTGCTATTGCTTTAATTCGTGGTAGACTGCAGATTGAGGAAGCAATCGAGCTTATTAGACTAGAAGAAGATTTGCAGGTTCCTACTTGATTAACCTTCCCCCTCTTTACATAATCACCTGTTTGGTTTTTCTCCCTGAAACTTGTGCTTGAAAATCGAAGCGCCGAGCTTTGTGCGCATTCTTGATCTTTTGAGAAATCAAGTAACAGTCTTTATTGTTCCCCCCTCCCCTTCCAGATAGACAAGTGGGGCCTGGTTGAAGGTGGGCACGATGTGGATATTGCTGATCTCAAGGTGCAGATTTCTTCAGCCGCTGTTTTTCTTGGTTTGTCGAGGAGAATATAATTTCTGCACATCGTCTCTCAATCCAAGTTATCATACGAAGAACTAGCTATCAGGCTAGTTCATGGAACAGGTTGTCGATGTGATATCCAGAGCCTACTCAAGGTCGCGAGCAATTTTGTATTGTTGATGAGTTAATACCTGATAATTAGGAATTTTCTGGGTGATAGAATAAGACGTCAACTTCATTGCGTGAGATGTTGCCTAGACTTCATGGCAGTCAATGTTTGGTTTGTGGGTTGGAAGAAGGTGATGAAATACGCCATTGACACGTTTCAATACAGATGTCAATGTTTAGTGAGTAGACAAACAATCACGATGTTCACAGAAATAAAAGAAACAAAAAAGGAATCACAAACACGAATTTAGGTACGTAGTGCATGATAGAGCGTTATATTTTTGCCAATGACATAGCTTTGAGCAGATGAATAATTGAAAAACTCGTATGCAAGAAATACATTTACTCACATTTTTGTTGCGAGTGGTGTTTCTATAACATCGGTACAGCATTATTTAGTAATGGAATTTTTTTCACTACAAAAAATGACTTTAATTATCCACGACTATGATTTGTAATAGTTCATGAAAATGACAACCAGCAGAGTTTCATGTAAACGAAAATTGTGGGGACGATGAGACTCAGAATCATGAGGGGTGTGTTTCAAGGATCATCTCGACAGCATTGGACGCAAAGGGGCGGATGGTATGTGATGTCGCAGTTGCAACAAGCCATGTCGCAGTCATTGTTACATCCTGCACAAACATTATTAGTCAGCGCTGAAGGACGTGATCTAAAAGCCTTGCATTTTCTCCCCTCCCCCCACTTCGTTACCTGTTATGGTCACAAATTGGGGTGGTTCCATGTCCAGAGGAATCCTGACATTTGGAAATCGAGTTCTTCCTACAACACTGGTCCCTTGTTCACATAGGATCACGAAAGCCAGGAGCAATGCTATTTCCAACATCTTCATTGGCCTCATCGTTGATTACCTGGTGATTGGAATTAGAATAGCTCAAGGTTATGTCGGCTTTTCCCGGTTGTGGCTTGCAAGATTGTGGACAAGTATCATCGTGACAGCCTTACCCCTCACGGCTTCCGTTATGTATTGAAGCATCTCCTCTTTGTAAATCATTACATCGATTTCACATTCCGATAATTTTACGCAAGCCGTGAATAGATGTAATGATCATTTCATAACTGTGTCCATACACACTTTCTGATTTTAGTTACTTTATTTGCTTAATTACGTTGAAGGTCCCTCATGAAAATTCTATGAAGTGATTCCCCATAGTCCATACCCACCGAGGCTTCTCTAATGAAGACACAAAATAGCTCTTCTAGCTCGGCCGAGATTCCACAAAAGTTCTACTAGGGGGGAAAACACAATAATTGAAAGACAACTATAAAATGGTAACAACTCACGTATGAGTCTTCCCCCACTTGGTACTAAGCTTGCCGCAGCACGATCTTGATTGCGCTTCTTCTGTCATCAAAACATCACGAGATTGGGAACAGAACAAGAAGATGCGTAAGTTTTATATCCATGTGTCAGTTTCAAGCAATAAAAAGGTCAATCCTCTACCCTTAGAACAAAGATATGATCGCTCCATGTAATGCGTTGGCTGCAAAATCAGCACTCTTGAATTGTTTTTACATCCAGGTGCTCCAATACTGACACCCGTACCTTTATAAACAGTCGGTCAAATAAATTTAACCGTCACGAGACAAAGACAATTTGAGATACAAGCACAGCTTTATAACCTCACGGGCGGAATATTAAGCTTCTAAGCAGAACGACTGCTGCCAGTTCATGAGATAGGATTCTCTATCAGCACTTAGTTTCGAAGACAAGGGTAACATGCTCAAAACTCCAAATTCACAGAAAACAGACTCGTAAATACTTGAGCAGGCTTTATTAACAATCTAAATTATCATCCCCCACGTTGAATGGAAATCAATTATCAATTGCACACATCATCACGCTTCTAACATTAGAAATAGAATCTCAAGTCCTGGCCAATCCCATCTCAAGGTTTTTGATATGTTGGATTTGCTTTCCAGGGCTCAAGCCCTTTGGACAGGCACGAGTGCAGTTCATTATGGTGTGGCAGCGATAGAGCTTGAATTCATCGTTAATGGCCTCTAATCGCTCTTTAGTGTACTCATCACGACTGTCGCTGATCCACCTGCAATAAATTCGACAAGAAGAATTAAAAATACCATTTTTACCGGGAAGAAAACAGAAATGTCGCTGGATATAAAAAAATGTACAAGACCAAGGTCCAAAAAATTCACATAGCTTTTATCCCAAATGTGCAGGGAATCAATTAGAAGGGGCGTAGGAACAAGAACAGAAATTGTACTCTATCTGAAGTCCAGACGAACAGAAATTTAAAGAGTTTGCCAAAAAAAAGAACATGCATCACAATTGACAGCTTAGAAAGCTTATTTGCGAAACCACAAGCAATTCACATAATTCCCATATGACATAAGTAAAATTAATAAATTCCCGAGCCAGTTTATATACATAATTTACACACGAGTTAAAGAATCACAGGTCAAACTCAATTTCATATTGAACAAATCAAATACAAAAAAGCAGTTACTGAAACAGTCAATTGCACAGAGCGTTGATAAAGGATGAAGATACTTAAACAGGCATTACCTGTTAGCGTGGAGCAGAGCTGCGGGGCCCAGATACGACTCGGGATTCCACCAGTAGCTAGGGCAGGATGTGCTACAGCACGCACACAATATGCACTCGTACATCCCGTCAAGCTTAGCCCTATCCTTCTTGCTCTGAGGTACCTCCTTACCAGGAACGGGGGGTGGGTTCTTCCTCTTCAACCAGGGTTCAATACTCTTGTACTGATTGTAGAAATTGGTCATATCCACGACGAGATCCTTGATGACGAACATATGAGGCAAAGGAGTGATCGTGGTTGCAGAGCTCGTAGGGATCTTGGTCAAGCAAGCTAAGCCATTGCAGCCATCAATGTTCATGGCGCAGGAGCCGCAGATTCCCTCCCGGCATGACCTGCGGAAAGTGACGGTGGGATCGATCTCGTTCTTGATTTTGATCAAAGCGTCAAGGACCATGGGCCCACACTCGCGGAGATTGATCTGGTACTCCTGAAGCTGAGGCTTGGAAGGATTGTCGGGGTTCCATCGGTAGATTTGGAAGGTCTTGAAGGAGGCGGAGTCGCGAGCGGTGGGCTCCACCTGCTGGGCTTGAGCCTCGGAGGCGTGCGCTCGAGCGCTCAGCAACTTGGACGCCGGCGACGATGAAACCCTAGACAGTACTGACCTTCTGAACAAACTCGTCGCCATTGTTGTCTGCAAGAGAGAATACGAAGAGAAGAGACGCTGCTAGTGGGGGGCACGGAAGGCGATCAAAATCAAAATGGTTAAGGTCTTAAGGATGAAGAGGAACGAACTACGATAAGAATTAAGGAAATAAATAGGGGTATTTTGGGCAATGAGAGAACAAATTAAAGGCTATTTGTTACTTTACGTGGGAAAATGCTTGAACGCCCGGTGGTCGACGTGCCCCCATACTGCCCGCTGCATTCGTCAGTTCGTTTAATTTAAGTGGTTAGCGCCATAGCCGTATGAAACTGTGAGTAAGACGGTGTTTAAATGGAAATCAAACTATAATTTTAAAAGTATTTTTACGGTTATGAAGTAAATATATAGAGTAGTTTATCTCATTTTACAGAAAAGTGCTTTTGAGAAGTACTTCTGAAGATTACCAAACACCCTCTAAATTATTCCAATTTTTTCAAATCAAAATACGTTAGTTCAATATTTTTACAAGGAGTTTTTCTAAAAATGATTAAAAATGCATAATAGCTAAAGAATTAATTTTCTTCAATATAAGTAAATTATAGAGAAATTAGATATTAATAATATAAACATCATAAAAAAAAATATCATGAAAAGTCATCCCCCAACCCTCACCGAACGTATTGTCGTAACTCGTAATGACTCTCGATGTATGGGCAGCAAATGGCTTTCGGTTTTGGATGACATACTTATTTGGGCTGCTGGATGAGACAACTTTTATTGGGCCGAAATTATTTTGAGTTCAGATTTGGGCCATTCGGGTCATGTAAGTGCTGGGGCGGAAAAAGCCTTTTTAAAATTTTCCTGCATCTGTGGATTGTCAATACCACAGAACTTCGGATCCATCCCGCCAGTTCCGTCGTCCGCTAGAGAAAATATTCGGAATAATTAATTAGTAAAATCAATAAATCTCGTCAATTTTCTTGGCCAATCCCGGAACACGTCACCAGTCCTCTCCAAAACCTTTCGTAAAACTCCTTTAGCTAAGTCATCTAGTTCATGAGTAATTATGAAACCGCGATGCTTCTTTACCAAAGATAAAATTTCATAAAAGAAGCAAAGGCCAACAAAGGTGTGGCGGTACTAGTAAACCATAATAAAATGCATAAATAGAATCCAATACCAATTACCAAGTCTTACTCTTCTAAGACCTATAAAACCAACGAAAATAACAAAACTCAAGCACTCTAGCCTAAGACACGACCTGAGAGAATTCAAATAACGTAAGAAGCCACAAAGGCGGAAACAAAGAAGACGATCTTGGGGACGAGCGGCGAAGCTGGATGACGAAAAGCAGAAGAAGAGTTATGATGGTGATGATCAGGAAGTGAGTCCTCCTGGGTGAGCACCCTCACGATCATCTTCTGTCCTTTCTGGCAATGCCCAGCCGCGCCACTGATGAAGTAGAAAGAGCCCGCATGGTCGAACCTGAACATTGTGTTTCCGTTGTTGGAGAACATGTTTGGGTGACTGGAATTGCAGTTCTTGTAGCCTTCTTCCTCCACCTCCATCACCGAGTCTTTCTTGTACTTAAACCCTACACCACACCAATGACACAAACTAAACACCATTAATCTATGTTCAATAATGATGAGAAGAAGATGAGCATGAACACTTACGTATGGAATCACCAACTTGGAACCTATTGTGTGAAGCCCATTCATGGTACATGTTGGTCTGATTGGCAGGTGGGACTACCCATCCTGCTGATCCTCCTACCTGGAACTCAAAACCAGACGCACAGCACAGCACTGTGGTGAAGAGGAGCACAAAAAGGAAGGTGGAAGAGGCCATTGCAAGGAGGAATGAACAAGATTGAGAATAAGGCCACGGAGATGTGAATTCGAGAGGGATATGCTGATAAATACGCAAGTTTTGATTCGATTCGATTCATGTATATATAGAGATGGAGGGTGGTGAAGTAGGCTTAGAAATAGGAAGTTGGGAAGAGAAATGGAGTAGTGGGCGGTTACAGACTGACGGTGAAGCTGGGAAGTGCTAGGTAGTTATTTTTGACTGGGTCTGATTAATTAATGAACTTGGAAAGAATTACAGATTTAATCAAGCCAAACACAACAGAGGTGTGCCCTGTAATTCCGGGTTATGGGCTTACGATGGCTTACTCTTGTTCTCATTCATTCAGAAAAGTACCTGGACAAATATTACCCTAGTAATTACATTGTCAAGCCCTTAATCATTATCTTTAATAATAAGGATATGTGTTTTCTCCACTAAACAATGCTAGAAGGTGGCAAAAGGGGGGGGGGGAAAGACTAATCAATTCTAAAAATCTGCTACTTTAGAGGCGTTACTTGTTTGGTTGCTCTCTGGATGGAATGAAATGTGATTGCATTTTTTCTTCAATGTAAGCATTCATTCATATTGATATTGAGTTTAAACTGCCAAAGCCATGTTTCTGGAAAAGTTTGGGCGTATATCGAACAGTGTCAGTGATTAGAGATGGTAATAGTGATGACGCTTGGAAGGCAAAAATAGATTAAGAATAAAGACTATTACACTACATGTATAACACCGTATTTGATGCTTTTAAGGTTAAGATGAAATTGTCAAGCAAGAAATTGGCGTCAAGAAATTTCCACGTCTCTTTCAACACGTACTGACTCTTGATCAGACCCGTTAGTTTTTCTGCCCTTAAAAGAATTGAGACTAATCATCCGACCAAATGCACTCTTTGATCTGGCCATTGGATGAGCTCCATGCTTCTCTGCAAGATCATCGGACAATTTGTTCACAAGATAATCAAACCGCCGCCGGAATGTTGGGAACCTCGACATCGATTTCATGATCCCTTGCAGCCTGACATATAATTCAACAGAAATATCAGACCAGAAAGCCCCAAAGAAAGTGTTCGAAAGCTAAGCCTTTTTCATTTGTTTTGGTCTTTTTATCTTTTTATCACCTTCTAGCCAATCCATCGAGCTCAGCACGCTTGCGCTCCGGTTCAGGAGCTGGGCCGACGCTAGAACTTTTTATTCTCTCAAGATCACCACTCCAAAGAACTAATTTGCTGAGGTAATCCTCTTCCGAGGGAGAGAGATTCTCTGCTTTGATTTGGTCTTTAATGATCAAAAGAGGATTAAGGAACCAATCAAAGAAAGTCTCAGATGGTCTGTTTGTGGAAGTCAGCTCTATATCATCAGCTGCATCAACAGAAGAAAGATGGACATGGGAAAGAGAGAAATCAGATAACCAGAGAAGGAAAACAGAAAAGAGAGAGAGAAAAAAAAAAAAAAGAATTACCACCGCTCCAAGTCTTTCACTTGTCACTTACTTAATAAAATACCAGTGGAATTTGCTTTTGCAGAGCGTATTAGTGCCTGAAGAAGGCAATATGCTGGAAAACCAACACTGATAATTTTACTTCCTTTACCAGACTTGGCTTCTTCAATGTCCTGACGCGTGATTAATCCTTCTGAAACCATTCTTTCTCCAGCATTATGACATTCTCTAAATAACCCGTCTAATAGCTACACAAGTCATGAACAATCTCCATTTAGTACAGATCTGAGTTTGCAATAACATAGGAAATGAATTATCTGTCAAGAATCCCTGGACACATTATGCTACAAAGAATACCTCAAGTGGTTTTAGTTCCCCAATAGTATTTTTCAGTGAAGATGAGCGAGAATATGTCTTTTTGAAGGAGCCGGGTTTCGAGAAGGAAGATGCACGAGAAGTTGATTTTGTTGACTCACTCTTTCTCCGATACTGAGGCCTATTAAATATCAAGCTCGTAAAATACACATAAAGAATTAACAACATATCACAATAGTAAATTTTAGGGAGCAGAAGGAAACCTGGGGAAGCAGGATCCTTCTGGCATGTCAAGAATATCATTGCTGTATTCATCATAAATTGACATAGCCGCAATAATGTAGCGGAGCCCAAATAAGATAGAAGACTCCTGTACTTCAAGGAACAAATAAACGTTTTAAAAAGTGCTCCTGAAGTAACTTTAGCATCTACATAAGGTGTAGGCTTCATGGTTGAGGTGCTCAGCAGTAACACACATATCATATGTTCAAGCATTTTGGCTTAGCAAACATTACAGGAGAAATAGTCTGTAATTTATATTTACACTAACAATAGCAACAGAAACAGTGGGAGACTGAGAAGCCTATTAAAAAGGCCTCTTCAATCATATAGAGAAGACACAGCTAATCATATAGATAAGGATTTACCTGATAAGCAACTATCCCTGCATAAGCACCGAGGAAGACGCTCGCTAACATGGACGCCAGAACTGACCCAATAACAGCCAAAGGCCACAGAAGAATAGCAAGACCGGCGAAAGGTACACATATTGTCTCCAAGAAAGGTCCTTCACGACCTATGAGGTCATGAAACAAACGTTTCCATCCTTTAAAAAGCATGTAAGGACTTTTGAAGAGTGCCACAAATGATATCACAGGCCCGTCAACTAGGATACCAAGCACTCCTGCTATAATAGCGCCAGGAAGATATAACAGTCTGCAATAAAACAGGAAAAAGAAATCTCATTAGAATTTTGAAAGAGGACTACCATGTAACTTAAGACTTCTGCCACAACAAAACATCATGTGTTATGCAGTACTATGAGTCATGTTATCTAGAAATCCATTTCACCGTCAAAATTTTTGTTTAGCTTCGGTAAACTTCCCAGTAAAGTTTACAAATTTTACTTTCCATGACGTAGAGTTGGCTATTCTCTGGTTAAATCTAGCGTGGACTAAAGAAACACGAATAAAACTTGGTGAGGCACTAAATAAAACCTGATCTCGAGATATTTCACATCCGGAGGCCCCTTCTGTCTCAAGTCATCCATAATCGAGAAATATGAATAGAAACACACATCTCTTACATCTCTCACAACGGTAAAGCTCCCTTTCACTGCGCTCCATGTACCATCCTGCAAATTGCAGTAAAGAATGCCATGTAGCGCATTACAACAGAAGAACTGATATTTCAACAAACATCTCAAGAACTAGAATTCAGAGACATACAACAATGCAGTGGTAAAACGTGTCACTCCTTCCTTCCCCAACCGCTTCAAAAGTTGCCAATATTGGTTGGAAAAACCCATACGCTGCTCCACCAATTATACTCCCAACTATGCCAACCACAGGCCACAAAATCAACAGCACAGGAAGAACACATGTGCAGATAACAAACTTCACAATTGGCCCTAATTGCTTAGCTCTGTCCGTTAAGGGAATCAATATAACAAAATAATTACGATTGCAAAGAAAACATTAGATCAATGAGCAAAAACTCGAGGGAGTGGCAACCACCTCACTACGCAGTAATATGTCCAGAGACTGTGCGCTGCCCAAAGACCAATGATGATAGTAGAGTTCCCAATGGTGATTATTAAGCATATCAATGGGCAAAAAATGATACCTGACATAAAAGTAGTGTAGTTTTAGCATTAATGATATAGCATGCATAATAAATTGAGTTTCTATAACATATCCCATGGTGGAAATGGTAAAATCATACTTTGAAAGGTGAAGATACCCGTAAGCCTTTTATACTAAATCATTCGAATAGAAGGCTTTTTGTCGGTTTCTAAGATTAACCATCGTAAATGACGCTGACCAAATGTAAGTATTTTTTTCCCCTCTAGATGATGTGATCGACCCTTCTTACTTTGCCATTAAAGTAATTAAAATGAATTGTTAGTCAGCAACAGTGTGTGAAAAAATAAGGCACTTGAGTATAACGCAAAATTCAACCCACCGTTGGTGTGCGTGGACAGAAGAAAGAAAGATAAAATCGCAGCCAAATGAATATTGAACAATTATGTTTAAAAAAGGTCAACTATGAACAAATTCTATGCATAAACGGGCTATCACAGAACTGTCACGAATTTATGATCTTTCTCAAAAATTTGAAACTCGAAGAAGAAACGAGAAAAGATTGACCCCCACCTTTAATGCTGCCTAGAAGCAGAAGTCCGATGAAGTAAGGAAGAAAGCGAATAAAGTTCAACAATGAAGCCCGTAAACCCGCGGGTGGTTCCATTGCTAACAAGTCCTTTCCCACTCAGATCTCTCTGAGATTACCACGAATCCATCGTACTCTGAACTCCAAGATCACCGCCTTCAAGTAGAAAAGATCCAAACTTTGGCCAGTTCAACCTTCACGAAGAGAAGATAAAGATAGGGAAAGAAACACCCAGATGCTTGAAGCTTGTTTCCAGGAAAGCCAGCGAAATAACTTGCGCAAAGAATCGAACTTTTTTCATTCGGAGCCTGGTAACCATAGATGTGGATAAACAAAGATATGAATTTTCTGAATCCCCTTTGCTAGTTTCTGGAACTCTGAGTCTGCTAAATATTAATAAAATATTAGAAAAAGAAACACAAGGATATTTATTGAATATGAGACTGTTAAAACAGTTCTCGACCTTGAAATCAGGGGACAGGAGAATATCATGAAGGGAGCAATTAACATCAAAGCATCAGGATCAAAATAATGCTTAATTGCCCACCAAAATCCTCACCTGTCTAATTCCCCTCTCGTGCTGGTTCTTCTGTTCTTGGGGATCAGTTATTCTTTTATGCTTAAACCAAAAGCCAAGCAAGTTGGGTCACGTATGGTGTGGCGTTGGGAAAAGGAACCATTTTGATATTTGAATGTGTCGACAAAAGGAGTCTTTGGTACAAGTAATTATTTTTAAATGCTTTGGTTTGCTTCCACACCGATTCCAACAGTGTCACTGGGTGTAATGCCGCGGAAGAAGGATTAAAAACCTGTTTGGCCGTTGGCGAGAAAGAACCTTTTTTTGCCGATATTTTTAATTATATCCTTCCTTTTTTTTTTTCCCACGGCATGCCTCAGTCTCCCAAAAAAACAACGACATGACTCAATATAATAACTGTCTGGACAGAACACCTGTCTGCCACGTCAGGTTTAGAGGGCCAGGCTTCCGATTCATTGAACCCAAGTTCTCACTTTCTTCTCTCTTGATACATTCGGATTTCGGAAATATAGGTTAGCAGTTGGCATCCTTGGAGTTCGAGGGCTACAAATTGGGGGCTGTCATTATTATATGTGGCTTCGCTGTAAAAAGATTCGATTTTTTTTTATTTTCTTTTATTTTTCTTGCGTAGGCCAAGATTTCAATTCATCCAGTGATACTCCCCTGTCACTGTGATGCCGACTCCATAACCATCCAAACGCGCCAGCTCCATAAAATAAGAAATAATATCGCCTTTTCCGATAAAAAGAAGAATCAATGCCTCCCAAAAAAAAAAGAAAAGAAGAAGATAAAAAGAATGCAAAAATAAAAAGGAGAAAATGACGCCGATTTGTTTGCTATTGAGATATTGGGTTTTGGGGTCAAAATTGTGAAATTGGTTAAGGCTCTTTTTTTTTTTTTACCTGAGGTTAAGGCTCTTTAAATTTAGTTAATTAGTTTAATCAACAAATATGAATATATATAAACTTCGGGCAAGATATTGAAAGTAACGCAAACTGGATTTATCATAGTGATTACTATTATGTGCGCGATGTTGAATTTTAATAGCATAGGATGTGAATATAGATGTAAAATATATATATTTGGCTCGATTTTGTTTTAAAATTATTTTAATAAATCTAACACGTAAAAAAATTATCATGCGAAAAGAGTGCCCAGGTTAATGTCTTTTTGACTTTTTGTAGAGGTTGGTGGTTGGGTGCAAACTTCTCCATGAAAGCTACACGTACACGCTTCGTAGCTTGCATGTTTCTCTTAAGTGCACATTAAAACAGTGAAATGATTAACACACGCCTGGTTTGGATAGGGGAAAAAAAAGCATGTATATGGAGAATAAAACACCACGAGAAATAACTTATTCAACTAAGGGAAAAAAAATATTTCTCTAATTTTTAATATAAGACTTATTTAACTAATTTAATTATATTAAAAAAGTTACGTAAGGTATTTAATTATAAAAAATATGATAAGTTTTTTCTAAAGTATCATAATAATTTTTTTAATATCCCCCTCCCTCTTCTATTTGATTATGGTTGATAGAGTATCTATAAGGGTAATTTAGAAAAAATTGATAAATATGATAAATAGATGTTATATTCAGGACCTCAATAATTAGATCCTATATTAAGGACAAGAGGAGTACTGTCTTTAAAATTATTATCTCTCATATCTTTTTTTATAATATAATTATACATATATATATATATTATCAAAGCATATTCTCAGATATTGATAGTGAGGTAATTAATTAATTGGTTAAGCTTGGCTAAGTGGTTAATTTGATGATCATCAAACATAGACCCTGTCGGCGTCACCATCTATTATCGGATGAAGGTTTAGTGCGTGTGTCCTTCCCTACCTTTTTCTTTTTCATACATAATTCGTGTTTACGTAAGCTAACATCTTTAAATCATCCTAAAATGTATCAGATCTTAGTTTAAAATAAGTAAAAAAAATTTGTACCAGGCATAACCAGTCCTCAATAAAATTGTCTAATTTTGTGCTATTTATTTGGTTGGTATATCCCTCTATTTATTTAAATGCAATTTGTCTCTAATAACCTTGTGCTAAAAGTAAAAACCAATTATATTATTTAGAGATGAGACTGGAGACATTGTATTTTTATTAATAACAATCACACTAATAAATCAAAATTATTTTTCCCTTCATTTTACAATTCTAAATATATTTTAAAAATAATAACTCGAACAAAGAAAAAGTACAGGAAAATCATGCATTGAAGCCATAATACTATTTTATCCGCAAAGTTTTTTCTCTGTAAAAGTGGAGATTTCAGGGAAAGAAAAGCATGTTACATTACCCTAAATTCTTTATAAAATAACATTTTGTTTCTTTCTCTCCCCCTTATGCAGAGGCAAAGTCACTGACAGATATTTTATGTAATATTTCTTGTCCTCAATGTAAAAGTTAAACAGCTAATTTGTAATAAATATATATTGATTTTTTTAAATTATCCTCATCTAATCATATACATTAGAATTATATTTAGACAGAAATATCTTATAATTAATAATAATATTTTTAAAAACACATTATAAATTTTAAAAATAAAATAGATTGAAATGTTACTTAGAACTATTAACTAGCTTTTATGTTTAATAGCGGAGATAGTAGTAAACTGATGCATCCATCCGCAGATGGCTAATCTGGACAGCGTAAGTTTATGGTTACCGTGGAGGCAACGATGCTTCGTGCCCATTTAATTATGATCGTCGTTTTGCGCTCAGTCTTCGTTTTGATGGCAAATCCAAAATGATATTTGGCAAAAACAAAATCATGGTTTTAAAAGTGTTTTTACGGTAAACAAGATAAATATGTGAAGAAATTTGTCTCAAATTATAAGAAAGTGTTTCTAAAAAGTACTTTTGAAATTAACCAAACACTTCCAAATAATTTAATTTCAGTAATTCAATAAAACCAGTAAAGTTGAGGGTAGGAGACTAATAGTTCAACAACAACCTTCAGAATCTGCAGGAATCTGACATGACGTCTCACCTGTACGGAATTTTTTAATAGCTGCATCTATAATTTACAAGACAAAACATGCGTAGTACAATCGGAATGAAATAGGCTTTGTCTGGGTAAAATGTTCAAATATTAAAATACAAAAGAAAAGGGGATGTGGCTAGTCTGATTTGGTGACCGACACTGACTAAGAGGAAGGGGCATGTGATCCCGAGACACCATATCTTATACGTGGTTGGCTGTAAATACATTACTATTTATTTAAAAATTTAATATTCTTTTTTACTTTTACTCCTCAATTAGTTACTCTATATGGATATCTCATTTTTTTTCTCACTCATTCCTCCTAATATTTTTTCTTTATTCATCATTTTCATAAATAAGGATTTATTTTAAAAAAGTTCATTTTTTATACATTTATTATTTTAAACTAATTTTAACTAATATTTTCATCCATGTAGTCTAGCTTGGCTGTTACTTGTATATAAGACAGAAGGGAATAGCAGTAATGCCCCAGCCTCCATTATAAGGAAAAGCAAAATTGGATTCTGGCGAAGACAACATGATAATTATAATTATTGTTTATGACTATGTCCTTCTTCCAGTATTATTTCACTTAATGACTTCAACGTCTCCTCCCACCATCTCACGTCACCATCATCTCTCACGATTCATAACCCTTTTTAGTTTTGTTCCAATAAAAACACATATGTTCCGCTTTGGGCCCATTTAAATGGCCTGCACCGGCCCATCTCCTGCAGCAACTATTGTCGACGGAAACAGCCGAGAAGATTTTGTCACAACAGAACGTAGCTGTGAACTTATGACTGCACGACCGTACATATAATCTGCGTGTCTTTAGCTATTAATATGACATTTCTCTTTATTTACCCAAAACTGAAAGAGTTACTTTCGATTTCCACTTGATTTCAAAGGTGGATGAAAGTTAGTGCTTTCTTGTTCAGACCAACTCGCAGCACAAATAAGACTGAGCTCCTATATTTGACGTCGGGTTCAAAAGCGAAACTTGCTCAGTTGTGTATGAGCAAAGAGAGGCGCTTCAATTTCACGGCCAAGAGTCTCCAGAGGAAGTATCAGATCCCTGATTTACTTGACAAATAGGAAAGGCAGAATATACAAACGTTACAAACAATAATTGACAATGGTAACATACAACAGCGCTAAATTACTGATTCACTACCTTCTCTCTGAGAGTAATAAATTTCACTCCTATCGAATGGTTTACTTTTCTTGGGAACATCTGCCAAGTTATAAAATTCAGTCAGTGTCTTTCTAACCTGCACTTTCTTCTTCTTCTCTGGAGGACGTGGTCCTAAGAGATTTAAGTCAATGGTGGCTCCATAAGCGCGAGAAGATTCCAACACAGCATCATAGGCTTTTGAAGATAGATGAAGTCCCTCATTGTGTGCCCTCGTGTATACCTCAAATGCCAGCTTCGGCTTCCCATCCTTAGCAAGAGCCTCAATCAGCATTTCGTAAGTTATCTCGTTGGGAGCAATCTTCTGAGCTTTCATCCTGTGAAACCATTCATAGGCTGCACTTCCCATGCCATTCCTTGCACAGCCACTGATTATTGCATTGTACGTCACTACTGTGAGTTCAATTCCTAGTGCTATCATCTCGGAAATGATGTCATCAACTCTGTTAAAATTTCCCAGGGCAGTATGAATTGAAGCCATGATTGTGTAGGCATATGCATTTGGCTCAACCCCTACCTTGATCATATGGTCCCACACTCGAAGGGCCTCATCGTAGAGTTTTCCCTTTTCCAGAGCACTGAGTAAAGCCCCATAGGAAATTATAGTAGGTTTTTCACCATTTTCCACCATTCTCTTAAATATTTGCACAGCTGCACTGGTTTCTGAAGCCTTGGAGCAGGCCACAAGAACTGCATTCCATTCCTTGCTTCCAGGTTTCAGACCCTTATCTTCCATCTTGTTTAGCAACCTGACACCCCATCTCCATATTCCCCTTTTCTTAGCTGCACTCAGAAGAACATTGAAGTGCGACATTATTAACTCATATGACAAGTTATTTGGCTTTGGCCCTTTGTCCAACAGATCCTCATATATCTCCAAAGCTGCCCACCACTTCTTGGCCTTTCCCATAAGCCAAATTGCATGGTTGCAGACAGACAAGCTGATTTCACTATACCTAGTTCGTATCCTGCTGTATAGCTCTTTTGCTACTGGGTAATGGTCTTCACGGGTACAAGCCCACTCGAGCTTCTCAAGCTCTGCCCGACCTGGATGAATCCCTGCTTTACCCATATCATCAAGCAGCCGTAGAACTTTATTGCTTAAGTTATCATGGCTGACAAGCCAACGGCGCATTACCTGATAGCAAACACGAATTGTGAACTTTTCGAGCTTGATGTACTCAGCCTCCCAATCTTCTCCATCATCATCTTTTCCTATTTCACCTTGACGATATTTTTCTCTAAATTTAACAAAGAAATTCAAAGCTCCATAGCCATCTTCCATTCTTCTATATGCCAGCAAGGCTTGAGAATAGGACACTGCAGATGGAATGAGGCCCTTGTTATGGATTTCCTCAAAAACACTGAGGGCCTTGTCGCCTTCTCCTTTTTCTATGTAGATAGCCATCAAAGTATTATATGTCACAACATTAGGAGTGATCCCTGCTTGATCCATTTCATTCATAATTGTTTCAATTTCTGCAAATTCTTGAGACTGTTTGACTGCACCCAACAGACTATTATATATGAACAGATTTGGGCTAAAAGAACCATTGGTTTCAATCCTTTTCCTGTTCAATAAATTCATAAGAATTAATGCAGAATCCATCCTCTTCTCCTTGCCAAAACCTCTTATGATGGTTGAATACACCTGAGGGGGCAAGTCCCCTTTGTCCTTAAGAATTTCCTCCATTTCATCTACTGTCTTGGCAGAGAGCAAGCTGAATGCAAGTGCTCGAACATCAATTTTAGAGTCAATCTCTTCTCCTTGCATTTGTTCATAATAACTGTCTTGAACTTCATCCAAATTTAAACAGTTTATACCATCTCTGTCACTGTCAAGCGACGAACTGTTTATGGAATCAGTGTTCTCCCCGATAGCCTGATCCTCCAACGCCCATGCCAAGGGAGCCATGAATCCAATATCATTCTTTGGTTTGATAAGGGAAGCGAATTTAAATTTAGAGTATCCTAACAAAATCCCACACTTCAAATCAAAATTTGGAATTCCAAAGCAAGCTTCACTCCTATTAATTCTTGAATTACTTGAACAGTCAAAAACACCAATACTTCTACTCTGAGAAACGGAAAAAACAGGGCCCAACTTCTTTTTCCTTCTAATTGTCGCGCAGATATAGAAATAAGAATCTACTTCAATGCTCGAAGGACGTACTGCAAAGTAGTTGCCATTTGAGGGCTGAGCGCTTAGAGTTTGCATGCTTCCCTCTAGGAAATAGAAAAGCAAGATAAAGCAAAAACCGAGGTAAGAAAATCTTACTTGCAGCTAGAAAAGCATAATCTTTCTGCTCATGATAGCATTACTGGGGAAGCAGAAATGGATGAGAACAGCAAATTGAGCTTAAAATACTATGTTCTGGATTTACGAATCTTTGGTAAATTAATCAATGAAGATTTTCGTGCCATGAAATTGATTTAGATTAGCTCGTTGGGTGGCCCTCGAGTCTCAATCCTTCGGGTGGATAGGCTTCGGATGAATTCAGAAGGCTTGGATGTTCTGGGGGGCAGCGTCGTGGCCTTCGTACAACCATTGATAGAAATGAACGAATCATAATACTTGAAAGCGAAAACCCAAAAGGCGAGAAGCAGGAAAAGGGAAATATAAATCTAAATATATTTTTATTTATATTTTTTATATGTTTGTAAAAGGAAATATCTCGGGCATATTACCAATTTTATTAGCATAGATTTTTTTTATATTGTTAAGGTTTTAAGAGTATGTGTGCAACTTCAAATGACAAAATTAAAATGAAACCGCTTAATTAAGATAGGATTATACCTATAAGCGTGTTACGCTGTTACCAGTTATTAATTCAAAAAAATTCCACAAGTGATTAATCACAAAATAGTTGTACTCTTTTCAATCCTATATATTATTTTGTATAAAGAGTTGCAGCATTAATTTTTTTTTAAAAATACCAATTTACAGCTACTTATGATTTTTTTTTTAAAAAAATCATATTTTAAATGAGAATAAAACTTTTAAAAAAATATTATTTTAAAAGGATTTTAATTATTCAGCTTTCATTCTTTCAACGAGGTGAATACAAAGAAGTGCTCACGGACGAAGTAAATTACTTTCCCTGGGAGGGAAAAACCAAAACTAAGGTCATTCCCACGATGGGAAATTAATTATAGAAACCATTTATTTTTTAAGGAATTAGTGCGATACAATCATATAACATCTATAGTTAAAACTAAATATTGGTTGGATACAGTAGAATGAACTAGTTTCTTATAAAGTGACAAATCCCGCTAAAAGAGATGTACACGTTTAGTATTGAAAGTGTCTCAGATAAAAAGGATATCTATGCGCATTTATTTTAATAATTAAAAAAAAAGCTACGCTCTGTTCTCCTTCTCATGCAGATAGTTGTAACTTTTGCGTGCCACTTCGTCATCGTAAATCAAGTTCGCACATATATTCATGGTAATTTCAGCTGCTTCTTCGTCTTTCCAAGTTTCTGAGTCTACTGCAGAGCTTCCACAATATGGGCCTTCTGAAAAAGCTCAAACCGTGCAATTTTGTATTCATATGTTAGGCTAACCAACCAACCAAAGAGAAAATTATGCTTCAGTATCATAAGTTCTCAAAATAAACTGGGATTCTGCTTCTTTTCTGCCTAATTTTCACTGCTCTTATTGACTCATTGTTTCATGCACAGAGATGCTACCAAATAACATGTCTTTAGCCGCTGTGAGGGGACACAAAAAGAAAGCATATCAATGGCAAGCTTTATTCTAGGATTCTCGTGAGTGTAAGCAGAACTCGTACACAGAATCAGATGAAAAAGGCTTGGATGCAACTTTAAAGCGGTTCATTCTGATACCAAGAACAAGGAGGAATCCTTTGAAGCTGCTTCCCAAGAAAGATGAAGATGCCTCTGGCCCTCCCTCTCATGGGACCTCTTGTGCCTCACGTCTCTCACCTTACTTTTTTGACCCTATTATTATCTCAATGAAACAAGCTGTATGCACTTAATTACAGGACCCAACTACTTCAACTTTATAGCCTAAAGATCCATGATCCTTTTCTGATCAAGCTGCGTCCCCAAGCTTAGCTGAACTTCCGCTTACAACTTTAGCTTTAGCTTTGTCATTCCCTTTGTTCTGTGTCTGCGTGCACGCGTGGGTTTATGTAATTGGATACAAGACAAAGGCTATCATGTACTCATGATATTATATTCACATGTAATCCGAAAGAAATCAACACTTGTATAAGAACAGGGCAAACCCTCCATACTGACACCGCATTGCATTAACTTACACAGTTTTTTTTTTTTTTTTAATTGAACAAAGCCTCAAACCGACGGAATATAAGTACACATTAATATCATAGTTTCGTAATCTAAGACAAAGAGAAGAAAGATGCATATCATAATATTCGGCAATCTTCACTTTTCTCTGGTGGTTAGTACCTAATCACAGTTTAATTAAACATAAATTAGTCATACACTGATGGTACGACAAGAAGTGTTAATGGGTTGGCTTCTTCCTGCAAGACCAAGCAGCTTCTTCTCCTCCTTGATGGCTGGATCTTGTAGCAAGAGAACCTTGTCCTTGTCTCTAACACCAACCATGTGTAGGTATTCTTCATCCTCTCTCTCTCTGCCTTTGAACAAGACCCTCTGCTCTCTGGGCTCCATCTTAGTTATCAGTGACAATATCATCTTTAATTCCCCTGCAACAAACAGTTCATCCACCACTTTAGTCAAATACCTCATGGGTTTTTCTCAATTACGCCTAAAGTCTGAAACTTCGGGCCATAAATATTAAATAACCAGTTGAACCAGGAGAAGATTAGAAAAAGTGGCAAGAAGGGAATTCATACCAAAAGTTGAAGTAGCTTCGATGGAAATGTCATGCCAGTGAGACACAGTTGAAACTCTAATGGTGATGAGTCCCTCTCCTGCATTTTGACTGGTGTCCCTTTTCTGAACAAGCATGCCACCTGGACGAAGCTCCCATTTGATTTCACCCATGCTCCTGCAATCCTTCTCTGATGGGGCTGCTCTGTTTCCCCTGCTCAGCTTGGAACTGCTTCTGCTAAACCTCATGGATCTTAGTTTCATCATCTTTCTCTGTCTGTCTCTGAGCTTTGTAGAAGAGGAAAAACCAGGTTGGTGAAGATGAAGATGGAGAGGCAAACGGGTTACATATATAAATACCAGCTAGAAAGCGTGGAAAAGGACAAAGATGGAAGCAAGAAGGCTTGAATAAAATAGAAGTCGCCCTTTTGTTGCAAGAAAGTAACACTTTTTTTATTTCCTATCGTTTTTTTATTCTTGCAAATGGCCCAAGGCACAGAAGCACATGGGCAGTAGGTACTGATACATCAACACGCTTACTTAATTTATTTGTGGCCCAAGCATAATCCTAATGACTCAACTGGTCGGCTAGCTGGTCTTCTAAAATGAAATACTCTTCCTATGAATATTCCAGTAAAGCTCTGAGAAAGCCCCCAAAATTTAATATTTTGGAATCGGGGATCATTCTTCAGACATAAAAACCAGAGCGAATAAAGGAAAACTTGCACCGGGTGGTTTTACTTTCTGTAATGGCGGTTGGGCAGGCACTTATTTAAGGTATGAGCCCATGTGAAGCTAAGGTCAGAATGCTGCAGAAATGAAGGGATAAAACAAAATGAAGAAGAAATTAAAAGGAGAAAGAACAAACATTATAATAACAAAATGCAAGTATGAATTGGTTGGATCAGTTAAACGTTAAGACAAAAAAGAAGACAAAGGCACCTGGCAGCCCCTACATGTCCTATGACTGCGACACACATTTCCCCAATTATTGGATGAAATCCTTAATTCTTATCATCAATTAGTGCCATATATGCATGCACCATCCACTCATTGATAGTCCATTGGATATATATACCTTGTCCCCATTTTTAATCAAATCATCATATAATTCATGTTCGTGCGTTTGGACGTTTGTGTTCATACTCATTCAACTTTCTGGGGCATTGGATTGGAACAATAGGATCTAAAGCTCTGTGGTTCATCTGCAAGGCTCTTTTTATTTTTCCCCCCTAATTATTTAAGTTATGAATGTTCCCTATCTAATGAATATCCCCTGGTGGAAATTATGCTTATGTCTGAAATTCTTATACAACACTACAAGAACATCAAATAATTCATGTATATATTTATCCGATGATTGCTTCTATAATTAACGTAACTATCCAACATCCAAGAGATTGTGCTTGAGTACATATGAAAGATTGAAGACATTTTTGTGTTTTATTTATTTAGATTGATTTATACTCCCTCCGTTCCTTATTATAAGAGACATTTGATGCTTATGGCATGTTCCTATATATAAGAGACATTTAAAAGTTGTCTCTACTTTTTTGTGTTGATTTCCTATTTTACCCATATTTATTGTTTCCAACTCACACTCTCTCTCCTTCCCACTTCTCTTTCTTTTAATAATTTAATTGTTCTCTCTCATGCTCTCTCTCCTTATTAATGAGGGCATTTTTTAAAAAAAGATTATACTTTTTACACATTGATTGTTCTTAACTAATTTTAACTGTTTTTTTTATCAACGTAATTCAGTTATTCGTCTCTTATAATAAGGAACGGAGGAAGTACTACATAATCACAAACTTCTTGTCGTTTAGCCTCTTAAAGTTTCACAATTTTCATTTACTCCGGAAAAATAATTCCACAAATTTCTCACCCTAAGTGTGAAAAGATCTTTAATCTTAATTTATAAGAAAGCATTAGAAAACCTATTTAATATTCATTCAGAACAGTTTATAAATAGTTTTTTAATCATAATTTATAAAACGTACTTATAAATATTTATATTAATATTAATTGATGTCAAACAAGCCCTTAAACTGTAATTTAAACTTAAAAAAAATTGCCTCGTAATTTTCGAAAGAGGAAGCGGGGAGATGCTTTGGCACTGAAAAGCCAGAGCTGCAGAACAAGAGTTTCATGTCTAGAAGAAGCAAGCATGTCGGCTCTCAAACTGAAGCCTCCCGACCTTAATTTTCCTATCGTCATGGACTCCTCCGATATTCTTTATTTCAGTAAACAACCACACAGAGCATTTCCCCAACCCATCACCACACTACCTCCACATCCCCAACCTTCTCTCTCCTACTTGTTCTTAGATTCTGTAACTTACACCAAAATAATTCGATCATCGGTTAAAACTGGATCTCTGATACATGGAAAACTTGCTCATGCACACATGATCAAGACTTCCTTCCAACCCTGTTTATTCTTACTCAACAATCTTCTATACATGTATAGCAAATGCGGGGAATTATGCAATGCTCAAAACCTGTTTGACAAAATGTCCAAACGCAATGTCATTTCATATAATTCTTTAATTTCTGGGTATTCCCAGTGGGGTGTGCATGATAAGGTCATGCGTGCTTTCTGTCAGGCTAGAATGGGCGGTCTTAAACTCGACAAGTTTACCTATGCGGGCGCTCTGGGGGTTTGCGGTCACACTGGGGATATACAATTTGGTAAGCTAATTCACAGCTTGGTTATTGTGGATGGATTGAGTAATCAAGTTGTTTTGGTTAATTCTCTTATTGATATGTACTCAAAATGCTGCCAGATTGAGCAGGCGAAATTGTTGTTTGAGACTTCCAAAGTCCTGGATGAAGTTTCTTGGAATTCAATGATTGCTGGTTATGTTCGATCACGTGTCAACGAGGAGGTTTTTGAGCTCCTTGTGAAAATGCATCGATCTGGGATGATGTTAAGTAGCTATACTTTAGGAAGTGTACTTAAGGCATGCTGCACCAAGGGTATGAATCGATTTGGTGAAACGCTTCATGGATACATAGTCAAGCTCGGTTTGGATATAGACGTTGTTGTAGGGACTGCATTGCTCGATATGTATGCAAAGAATGAAAACTTACTCAGTGCTATTCAAATTTTCAAGTTTACACCCAACCCTAATCTTATCACGTATAATGCTATGATTGCTGGCTTCCTGCAAGCAGGGACTAACTCCACTGAATACGCACGAGAAGCACTTCATCTTTTCTCTGAGATGAAAAGGCAAGGAATGAAGCCCTCTAAATTTACATTCTCAAGCATACTCAAGGCTTGTATTGGCGATGAAACTTTTGAGGTTGGAAAGCAAATTCATGCTCAAATTTGTAAAAACAATCTTCAGTCTGATGAGTTCATTGGCAGCGCTCTAGTAGATTTGTACTCATTTTCTGGTTCAATTGAAGACGGGCTAAGGTGTTTCAACTCAACTCCTAAGTTGGATGTCGTCTCATGGACATCCATGATAGCAGGCTCTGTTCAAAATGGACAGTTTGAAAATGCCCTGTCTTTGTTCCATCAGCTCTTGGCATCTGGAATTAAACCAGATGAGTTTATCATATCTAGTGTGATGGGTGCTTGTGCAGATATGGCCACGGCAAGATCTGGAGGGCAGATTCAGAGTTATGCATTAAAATCTGGGATTGCCAATTTTACCATTGTTCAAAATTCACAGATTTGCATGTATGCAAAGTCCGGAGACATTGATTTGGCTAAGCAGACATTTCAGGAGACAGTGAGTGCAGATGTGGTATCCTGGTCAGTGCTGATATGTAGCACCGGACAACATGGATTTGCCAGAGAAGCTTTACAACTTTTTGAGTTGATGATTACTACTGGAATTGAACCCAATCAGGTCACATTTCTTGGGGTTTTGACTGCTTGTAGCCATGGAGGTCTAGTTGAAGAAGGACTACAGTTCTTTGAGACCATGAAGAAAGATTATGGCATAGCAGCTAGTGTAAAGCACAATGCTTGCATTGTTGACCTGTTGGGCCGTGCTGGGAGGTTAGAAGATGCCCAGAATTTCATCTTTGATTCAGGCTTTGAAAATGATCCAGTATTATGGCGTGCCTTGTTAAGTGCTTGCAAAGTTCATAAAGACACTGTCATGGCAAAACATGTTGCAGACAGAGTAATAGAGCTCGAACCTCAAGCAGCTGCATCTTATGTGCTTCTTTACAATGTCTACAATGAAGCTGGGAAGGAGAAGCCTGCTTTAGAAGTTAGGAAGCTCATGCAAAATAGAGGGGTTAAGAAGGAACCTGGTATAAGCTGGATTGAAGTAGGAAGCAAAGTTTATTCTTTTGTGGTCGGAGATCACTCTCATCCAATGAGTCAATTGATTTACTCACGGTTGGAAGAAATGTTGGAAAAAATAAAGAGAATTGTCTCTGATAATGCGAAGCTTCCTTTGAGTATCTCAGGAGTTGAACTTCGTGGCAAAACAGGCCTGAAGGGCCACCACAGTGAGAAGTTAGCGGTAACTTTTGGAATACTCTTTCTACCAAAATCAGCGCCAGTGAGAGTGATGAAGAATTTGAGAGTCTGCAGTGATTGTCACACGATAATGAAGCTCATATCTGAAATAGAGAAGAGAGAAATAATTCTTAGAGATGCTATTCGTTTTCATCACTTCAGAGAAGGTTCTTGTTCTTGTAAAGATTACTGGTAGCAGACGACGTAGGATCAGTTCCAGGAACTAGGAAACAAAGAGCATTTGTATTCAGAGGATTAATTAGACAGGGAGGACTAGGAGAGAAATTGAAGATTTCTTCGATCATATGATAATTCTCTGAGGTGGTTTAATAAACACATACACACAAGCAGTCGCCATTATGCAGGCGTGTGAAAAAGGAAATCTTTGTTAGACATGGTTGAAACTTTGAATTTTTGTATGAATTCGTGAAAGGATCTAAGCTTAAAGAGTGAAAAGAGCATAATAATTGTACATCAGAAAAAGTTAGCTCTTGTTTCATTGCTTCTTGCATTTCAAGTGGTAAGAACAATGTTCAATTACTCCTTGTATGTCTGTAGTTTTACTTTATTCTGAATATACTTTACTTTAATCTCTGCAATTTAGAAATTTGCAATTAAATATTCTAATCTTTTAAAAAACGTTTAATTGTTCCCGTAAACTTCTTCCAGTATATTGTTAATTTTGTTAACGAGGCCGACTAATCCCATTATACAATCTATACACCAAGATAGTGCTTTTGCTTGGAAACAGCAGGGTACAAATCACGATCCTTGCTCTACACCAAAAAAATGACGTGCTAAATTCTAGACTTGCTGCCTGCAAAATTCACCAATTAATGGTGTGGGGAAAACATTCTTCAAATATCAAGATATAAATTTAGTCCCTGAATAAAATAATTAGGCTTCTGAAATATGAAACGAAAAGGAGAGAAAGATGCGGAAGCTACACGCGTTGTGCCGTTGTCGGTCTGAAACTGGTCAATACTGCTTCCTGCTCGCCCCCACACCGTGTCCCCCACCGTTTTTCTCACATTGAAAATGTGAAACCAAAAATATCTGGGGCATTCCGAGAATTGAACTCGGGACCTCTCGCACCCTAAGCGAGAATCATACCACTAGACCAAATGCCCTTGTTGTTGGGCCATTGAAGAAAAACTAATATATCTGTTTTCTCGGCGTCGCTCTTTCTCTTTTTATTTTTTATTTTTTATCGTTGAAATTTTGAAATATTTTTTTTGAAAATTTTTAAAACCCAAAAAATTTTATGACATTAATAGCTTTTTCCTTTTTATTATTACATTACTGTGTCTCTGACATCTTTGATTCTGAATTTATATTATATACGGATGATTTTCACACGCATGTATTTGAAACAGGAAAAAATATCAGTTATGGTTTGGTGGATTTTGTTTCTTTCTTTTGCGACACATACGAAACTGGAAAAATAAACGAGAAAAAAAAAAATCAAAGGCATGAATATTAGCCACGATTAATGATAATAACTAAAAAAAAATGGTACAATATTAAATGACCTGTGGGCTGTACCTGCATCCAAACTCGTTATGTGTTGTAAAAGAATCTCTCAAAAGAGTTTGGTTTCTCTCATTTTGTGAAGTTACAATTAATGGGGAGAAAAGAAACCACATGAATGCTTGTAAGACTCTATATATCATAATTATAACAATAAACCATTATTTAAAACCAAATATGCATGCATCCATGCATGGCCGGCCGATAGCATCTAAATGAGATCAGAAGCACCGTAGTCCACGAAACCATCGGGGCCGGGAGCTGCGGCGTCGCTACCAGACGGCGAGGGAGCGTCGACGTCATCGGGAAGGTCGTAGTATTGGATGCGGTTGTCGAAGACAGACGGTGAAGGTGCTGAAGAGGGAGAGGCCCAAGGAGCCGATATTGAAGGAGAAGAAGAAGAAGATGATGATGATGAAGATGAAGGAGACGGAGAAGAAGAGGGCGAAGATGAGGGAGAGGAAGAAGGAGAAGGTGAGGGAGCCATGTCGGAGACGGCGACGGCCACGCAGAGCAGGGCTATAAGGGTGGCGAGCTGAAGTGGGGCGAAAGCCAAAGCCATATTTAATTTTTCTGACTGCCGGAGTACAGAGTGACGACAGAAGCTATTTGATTTGCAGTAATTCTACGGATATATAGGGTGAATTGCAGAGAAAGATGACGAGTGAGAATGATGAATATGAATGGGCAAGTATAGGGAAGGTGGCTCCTTTATATTTATAGGTTTGGAAGAGCGGAAGCCTGTGGTGGATACATGACAGAGACTCCTCGTCTTTCTCCTACTGTTATTAATCTGCAACGCTGGTTAATTATAGCTTTTTCACTCCTTTTTTTTTTTCATTTTTATTATTTGTACCCCTTTTTAATTCTTATCTGTATTTAAAAATTATATGGATGGGTTTGTAAACATTAGTTTTATGCTCAATGACGTTGTTTATTACTACCTCTCGTTCTAAATATAAGAGCTAGTTAACTAATTTGCATATATTAGAAAAATAAGTTAAGTTAGTTGTTTGTGATAAATATATGTTGTCTTTCTTAAATATCCTTACTAATCAAATTTATTGCCTAGAACTATTATTATTAGAAGGATTATCTCTGAAAAAATAGATAAATATGAGAGACAAAGTAAATTGGAATCTTATATTTAGAACTAAAATAAAAACCAAATAAAATCTTGTATTAAAAACCTGAGGTAGTATATCACAGACCGAGCGGGCACACAAGTTTAGTAACGTAAGAGAAAAAGACCTCGGTAGAGTGATGATGTACAAATGTGTGTGTTTATACATACATACATATATAATAAATAGAGTGAGGCATTTTGTAATAATGGGCTTTAGAGGTGAAATAATGAGTGCATGTTTGGAGACGTGATGGATGAATGAGTCCCACTTCCCACATCATCATCAACATCAACCTCCAAGTTCAAACCCCTTTCGCAACAACATGGATAGATACCTTTGACCCCACTGCCATTCATCTTTTGCTCCACGATTGACGCCAGAAAGTGGCTCACTTCAAATTCCCCTTTTATTTTATTTTTCTCATCTTGACACTAATGCGCATATATATAATATATATATATATATATACATGCTTGTTTCTAATATGCATATAATGCTGACTCCCCCCCCCCCCTCACATCATTATTAAGGTAACTTTTAGTACAGCTTTGTCCGAACAGAGAATGAAGACGACGTAATGCACTGGACTGGATCGCATCATTTCAAAGCTCTTTTCTTATACTTTCAATATTATATTCTGTGTTTGATCTCATCATTCATATGAACTGAATAATGTTCCCTTTTTCATTTAAATAGCTCCACATCTAGCAGAACATAGATGGTTTAGATTGAGTGAGACCAAAGAAAGCAGATAAAGAAAGCTTGAGTTGCCAAATGAAACTGTCCTATGGTTAAGAGGCCATAGGCGTGCACATGAAAAGTTGAAATATCATTGAATCAAAACCAACAACACTTGCTGCCCTTGCTTTCCATTGCACAGACCTATGTTACCAATATATGTGTGTGTTGCTATTCGCACCACACAAATTTTGAAAAGCAAAAGCTAGAGGTTATGACTTGTAAAATAAAATAAATAACTAGAGAAACTGCTGGCAAATGAAAGCCACCAATCCCAGACGAAACTGATTTTTCTGGTTTCTTATGGTTAACTTTCGCTTGCTTTCCCAACAGTTATAGTGTCATATATATCAGCAACTCATGCCCTTCCTGCATGTGAGTACACCAGCAGTCATGGTCATGGAGCCAACAAGAGAAGAAGGTCTGGCGCTGAGACTTGAAGCCCTAGCGTAGCTTGAAGAAGCGCCGGCACCAGATTGCCTGAAATAAGCTCCGTTCAAGAACAAGTCACCTTCTGATCTCCAGTTCCAGTTCATCCACTCTCCTTCTGCGGCATCCTCGTGCTTCGTCACCTCCTTGCTAAACCTGTTATCTGGTGCCAGAAACCTATTCCCCTGGCTGTTTATGGTAGGATTCGCACTCCCACCTATCGCATACATTTCCCAGTGTGTATAATCATTGTTCACCACATGAAAATACCCGTGCCTACACCTGCAACAACGTTGTTGTAATTAAACCACCACATCACTCTGCCATCAAAGCACAAATCTGAGTTTGAGACAATGAAGTTTGATTATTATATACGTACCTTGGCATTCTCTGCACGAGGCCTTCTCCGAAGTGATTGAAGGCGATAGTGACCTGCATGTCCTTGTCCTGAGTGTAAGAATCACTGTGGCCTAAGAGCATGACTTTATCATGGTGGGTCATGTAGTTGTTGGAGATAGTGATGGCTGTGGATCCATGGATTGCGTCAATGAGCCCGTCGCGGCAATTAGAGAGCGAGCAGTGGTCCACCCAGATATGCCTGGAATTAAATATGGAGATTCCGTCGCCGTCGGACACCGTCCACCACCCATAGTGGCGAGGAGAGTCTCTGATATCGGCGTGCCCGGTGGGCTTACAATCATGAACGTGAATGCCGTGAATGATAATGTTGCTAACGTAATGTATCGTTATGCATCCGCCGCCTGCAATGTGAACACTCGCTCCCCTTCCGTCAATGGTCTTGAACGAGTTCATCACCAGCTCTTGCTTTAGGGTTATCACCATGTCTCTCTTGAAGATAATCCACAACGGCTCGTCTTGTATGACGGCGTGTCTCAGAGTTCCCGGCTTAGGGTTCACCGGGTCGTCGTCGCCGGAGTCTGTCACCACATAGACTCGACCGTTTCTTCCTCCCATGGCGTCCTTGCCGAACCCGATGGCGCAGTCGGCTAGCCTCTGCCGGTTCCTCTCCCAGTTCGGGTCGCACCTCCAGCAGTCGTCGATGGGGTTGCCGGTGCCACATGATAAATACCCCAAATTTCTTCTAGAGGCATTGATTCTTCTGCAACGATAATAATAACGACAATGTGAGACCATTAACCTGTTGAAGCTAATTAATAATCATGCACTAGTACTGGAGTGGTGGTGAATTACCTGTGCACGTCTTGTACAACTAGCTCAGGGTCTTGAACTGCGACGCAGGAAACAATGAGAGGGAGAGAGAAAAGAAGAAGAAAGCAAGCTGCGAGACGAGGCATCTTCGCTTTGATCGTTTCTGATGAACAAAGTGTGGAAGTGGCGGGGGATTTCAGGTGGAGGAGTGGGGTTTTGAAGGAAGAAAAGCCGAGAGTAATGGCGTGATTAATAGGACAAAGTGGGGTCCATATTATCGTAATTTCTGGTTTTTGATTCGTATTTTTTCCACTGATGAAGAAGAAACAGCCGGTTTTGAGGCCAGAGTCAGTTTGAAACCGTTGCATATATTACCTCCGTGAAATCAAAATATTCAAGCTCCTCAAGTCAGATTGGTTGACCTCTGTCACCAACCATGTAAAGGTCTTATTCTCACTCTAGTTACCAAACCACCTTAAATCATGGCATGTTCAGCTACAGGGTGATATCCAAACCCACCTCATTTATAAGCGTAATATATGCAAGTTTCAGATATGAACTGAACTGGTTCTGTGTCTGTGCATGGCTAAATCAAACATGCGTGTTCCTTGCTTATTATTCCTTAATTTCCAGTGAGTAATTTTAGTTCATCCGTAGGAGTAATAGTAGTTACATTACATTCGGTGGTCATTAGTTGTTGTTTGTCTTGTAATAACACATAATTAATGGGTAAAAAATAAAAAAAATAAAAAAAACTAGTCACTGGATCGACAGTACCATAATAGCAGTACCACAAACAAACAACCAAATAGCTTTATCCTTTGTGCGTGTTAGTTGGGCGACACAAAAGTTATTTTTTCACCTTTGGGCCAATTGAAGGTACTGATTTTGCCACTTCTATAATTGGGACATTTTTTCTTGACCCCTCCTGTAATTGTAATTAATATGATTGCTGTCTTTGACTTTTTACTCAGTCATTCACACACACACAGACCAACTTCCTTATCACCTCATTCACATGCTCTCTCTCTCCGTTCTTTGCTTTGATATATTCGGTTATATTGATTTTGTTCAATTATTTTTTAAGAGAATGGATGAATCATTATGTGCCAGCTTAGCCGGCTTGGACATCTTATCGCAGAACAATCCCATATGATGTATTTCTTGCTTTTCCCCACTGACTGCGGAACATATTTCTCATGCAAATGATATATTTTACACTTAAATATTTTCTTTTAAATAATACTACCTCCGGTCTTTAATATAAAATCTTATTTAACTTTTATTTTAATCTTAAATATAAGATCCTAATCTACTTTATCTCTCATATTTATTTATTCTTTACTAAGGTAGTCCTTATAATAATAATAATTTTAGCTAATACAGTTGATTAGCAATGATATTTAGGAAAGACAACACTTATTTATTATAAATAATTAATTTAACTAATTTTTTAAATATATTCAAATTAATTAATTAGCTCTCATATTAAGAACTGGAGGAAGTGTGATTTAACTGAAAGTCCAACAAATTGATTATAACAGAATTGGTAGTTGTACGGTGAATCAGGCCAATGTGAGTTTAGAGTATCTTCAAGTAAAATGGTCCTGACTTATCTACATGCATATATTAGGACAAGAAAAAATGAGGGACAAAAAAAATAAACTTTGCCAGCTTAACTCAATAATAACCAGAGATGGGTCAACTATTTAAATTATCAAAATTTTAATCGCATATATGAATATTTTCTTTGGGTAAAAAAGGAAGAGGTGGTGAGAAATACAAGTACTATGCGTGTGTATTTTCATGGTAAATGAGTTTTCTTTCCCTGACTAGTAAGAGAGTAATTTAAATCTTTTTTTTTTTACCAACTAATTTGAATCATTTTCATTTATAACAATTCTGTGATTGTCATTGAAAAGTTGAAAAGCGACATAAAAAAAAAAAAAAAGGCCCCTTTTTTTTAATTTTTATTCTCCCCCTGCCCGAATTTTTCGCTCTGTTTTGAACTTTTGCTCCACATTCCGTACAGAACACGTTAAATTATTAGAGCTGTGATCGTCGATATCTTGGTGTGTTGCTTACGACTGATCGCAAC